CCCCACAGTGTTTTATTTTTTAATTTTATTTTTTATTTTTCTGGAATAAAGTTTGCTTCTGGTTTAATACACTCTGGTAGTCTTTCCCCCTTTATTGCAAGACCCCAGCCTCAACACATTGTCTCCCTTTCTCTAAAACCTCTAAGTGTTGGAGTACCTCAGAACTCAGAAACTACACTCCTGTAGATGTCGTTAGTACACTACAGATTCCTAAATTTCTATCAACCCCGAAGTTCCAGACTCAAAGTCAAGTATAGAAACACAGAGACCTGGATGCCTGGTTTAATGTTTCAATCAACTATAAACATACACATAGCCCACTCCTCCAATCCCAACTACCCTTCCCCCCTCCCTCTTTTCTTCTTCCTCATCCCTCTACTCAAAAACTCCATCCCTCTAACTGCTCAGGCCAAACTCCTCTCTTCCATCAACAAATCCTTTCATCTTTAGCTTCTGGCTGTCTAAAATCTGATCAATCCTATCTTCCATAAGTCTGAACCAACAAAATCCTTCATCTGCACTATACTATTGGTTCCAACATGTCTTAAGTCCCTCCCATATAGTATTTATTCTCAGAAACAGCACAGAGTTGATTTTTAAAAATCTCAAATCTTTGCATGTCCTAGTAAGCACTTGTTCATAATTAAGGATATAAATCTCCAATGATCTGATCCCCACTTCTTGGCCTCTTCTGTCACTGTCTACACTCGCTGTTAGATCCACACCAGAATATCTGCTTAAGGTCCACACTCTGGAACTTCTATCTTGCTAGTAGTAGTTTACCCTTCATATCCATGTAACTCCTTCCCCCATTGTTTCAAAAATGTGTTTCAGGAATGCATTCAAATGCCACATTATCACAAACCCAATTCCTTAATAGTCTACAGACAATAGAATACTCATCAAAATACACCTGCTGTATTATTTTCAAACAGATGTATCATTGGTACTTGAAAGCTTTACTGTTTACTTGTTTTCTATACCTATAACAGTTCCTGGTACAAAGGAAAAATTAGAATTTCTCTAAGTATTTTCTTATATGACACTGCATTTAATGCCCACAACAGTCCTGAGAAGCAGTGAAAAAAAAAAGAACAAGTGGTATAAATTTATTTTATAGCATGAAAGCACAGATAGCCAAACATGTTTGATGACTTTTCTACAATCACAGTGTGGTACTGGCAGAACCATCCATGCAACCAGTATGTCCAGAATCCTTCTGAGTTCACATCAATGTCTCCATGAGCATATGAAAGAGCAGGGATTTAATTTTTGCACAATAATCTGTAAAAGTTCAACTTGACATCTTTTCCTTTAAACCACGCCCAAGCACGGAACAGCAACTCAACTGTGTGAACCACAGCAGCTGTTGATTTTCTTCTCACTGAAAGGCTGGGATACAAGTCATCAGACTATCTTTAGAATTTCCAGATCCTGTGAAAATTCTGACCAAAAGGAAAAAGGGGTGGGGTGGGGGGGTATCAACAAACAGTTTAGTGTTTCCTGTCTCCTGCACCCAATGCAGCACACTTATCCCAGAAGGGTAAACCAACACCCTGGTAAACAAGCCAACAGAATTTAATTCTCAAAAATTCTTCTACTGGTGTTCTGCAGAACAGCATGACAAAGAAACTACCTGGAGATGGAATAAACACAAATATTTCTCTTAATTAGGCAGGTTGGCAAAAAATGACCTGAGAGCTGCAATCTAGTTCTCAATACCCAATAAGGTTAAAAAAACTAGCAATTTAAAAGAAAATAGAAGTTTTGTTTGCACTTAGGCAAAGTATTTTTGCCATCAAAATAAGGTTTAGGTTACACAAAATTACTGAATATTACAAAATATATTAGACTCTTCAATAATCCAACAATTTCGAGCTCTTGCCAGCACTTACTCCCCTTTCCTGCATCCCTCATCAGGTTAGAAGCTGTGTATCTAGGTCAGAAAAGACAGGAACCTTTTCAGGGCAGCTCAGTATCTCTGGCTCATGTGTCAGTATTGTAGTTCAGCCCTTTCACAAACTCCCTCTAAAACAAATTCTGACATAAATCACAAGATTGATATTACTGATAATCTGCGAAAAGCCACAAGAAAAACAAACCTAAGTATTAGACTTAGAACATTAACAGAGATTATGAGCAAAAGAAAAATGATAGTCTACATAATTAATTAACATGAAAGCAACAGATTTATGGTCAGATTTCATTCTAGTTTCATCTGAGGACTGAGCTAGTCTGCTGTCAACAAAACCTAACTTCTCTGCGTGAATCTCAGCTCCTTCATTATAAAATTACAGAGTGGGATGCTAAGATGGCTCAGCAAGTAAAGGTGTTTGCAGACAGCCTGACAACATGGATCCATCTCTGGAACGTAGGGTGGAAGGACAGCAACAACTCCTCAGAGCTGCCTTCTGACCTCCACAGACATGAGCTAACATGCACGCACACACCCATATACATTTACAATAAATAAATGTCATTTTTAAGTTAGACTACACTCAGATTATTTTTTAGGTAGTTTGTTTAAACACAATCCTATGATAAATGACAACTCTCTAAGTACATCTAATAGGAACAGATTTAACTTATTCCTTAAAAGAATATGACTTTTCAACACAATCATATTTTTAAACATTTTACCAAAAAACTAAGAAACAAACAACAGAGGAAACCTGAACATTATTTCAGAACCTGAACATTTTGGATTTCTAGAAAGTAAAAATGAGGGGCTGGAGAGATGGCTCAGCAGTTAAGAGGACTGGCTGCTCTTCCAGAGGTCCTGAGTTCAACTCCCAGCACCCATATGACAGCTCACAACTGTAATTCCAGTTCTAGGGGATCTGACACCCACAAGCAGGCAAAACACCAATGTACATAAAATAAAAATAAGTAACTTTTTTAAAAAGTAAAAATGAAATCATATGCGTCTCTTTGGGGAGAAGTGTTCATTATCTTTTAAAGATGCATACCAAAGTATTTTACATATGAAATTTATGAAGATCTGAGATTTTTCTTGAATTTTTTTCTTTAAAATAACTGACTAGTAAAGTAAAATATGCGCAAGACATACTGGCCCTAAGATCTAAAATTGGATGACGGACGGGTTCCTCATACTTGGGGTTTGTTAGGTGCTTTTCATTAGCCTTAAATATATATTAGGCTCTCTAAAAAAAGGAAAAATGCTCATGCTCTTTTTTTTTTTTTTTTTTTTTTTTTTTTTCTTCAAGACAGGGTTTCTCTGTGTTGGTTTGGTGCCTGTCCTGGATCTTGCTCTGTAGACCAGACTGGCGTTGAACTCAGAGAGATCTACCTGGCTCTGCCTCCCAAGTGCTGGGATTAAAGGTGTGCGCCACCACTGCCTAACCTATATTCATGCTTTTTAACACAAAGCCATAACCTCTGCTATGACACCAAGGTATAAATCTGTCCCAGCTGTTTTACAGACACCTGTTATGCTTTTTCTAAATGTGGATTTCAATACAATGGCAATGCTAATATCTCTAGAACTTTTATCTCCTTTGATAAACTAAAATTCATGTAAGCTTCAAGGAATCAAAGTCATAAGGTTTGGATTCACCTGTCAACAGGTCAAACAAAAAAGTTCCAAATATAAAGTTTTACTTAAAATTCCTGAATTTTAACTTCTGTCCCCTAGTCTGTATCTCAGCAAATTTCCACCTGGCTGACAGACACCATCCAGGGAACACCTGCAAACTGCAAGCTGCTGAGTGATATGAACCAGTCCAACCAATGTGACTGCTCCCTGTCCCTTCACCTGGATCAACTAATCACATGCTTCTGATAAATGCCCTATTGTCAAGCCTTTGACTAGCCTTTCAGCCTTCCTGGGCCCTGACAATCAATGTCCCAGTTCAGCTGGGAGTAGTTACAGAAGTTACATCGTCCTTGTCCCCATAACAGGCTGAAAAAGGCTAAGTCAAAAGAAAACTCCCTGATGTTAGGGACAAAATGGCTACTTATAATCTATAATGCCAATTGATATACAAGAAAAAATGGGCTCAAATTTATCAACAGGTAGATACATTAAGTAAAATGGTTCTACCACGATAGGACACTTGGCCTGCTTTACGCAAAACAAAAATATATCCATCACAGGACCTTGAGCCCTTATGCTTCTGCTAATTACTATTGGCTCTTACATCACTGATACAGTAACTGAATGGTAATTCCTATCTGGATACCATTAAGCTAATGATTGTTAGGTCTAAATATAAACCAGTACCCATCACAGAGTCAAGGATTTGACCCAGGATAAAACTTCAGGGGTGAATGTTAGACCTGAACTTAACCTGTGAGCCCCACCTGCCTGAAGACCAGGTAACTTCCTGGGATTCTAAGAGTTGTAGTTCTTGAAAAAATAACAACAAAACCTCATGGGTACAGTGGCCTATGGAGTTTTATCCATACAAGCCCTGCAAACAGGCATCTCAGGGCCACATAGCTGGAAATTTTCCACATAGTGGTCCTGACCAAATTCCATCTTGGTCAGTATTTAAAATTTTGATAAAAGCTTGCTTAAATTTGGCCAAAATGGTAGAACTAGTTTTTCTGATGAATTTCAGGATTAACAGTGTGCATGAATGTTCTATTCAAAAGTTTTCAGCAGGGAGTACAGCTCAGTTAAACAGCTTGTCCATCACATACAAACAATCCAGCACCACAAAGGGAAAGAGAGAGGGGGGAAGACAGGGAGGAAGGTGGGAAAAGAACGAAGAGGAGAGACTGAGGCAGGCAAAGCAAAAAAGGGGTGGGTGGGAAGGGTTTTGTGATCAGAACTAAGATGAGCTATCTTGGGCCTGGCAAGGCAGATGGCACTTATCAAAAGGACATAGGATCAAGGCGGCAGAGGATGATAATGGTAACAGAACAAGTTTATGCTGTATCTTATCTTCCTCTCCTCTTAAAAATACACTGGACATATACTCTGTATTAAATAGTGCAGTTTCTAACAGTATGTTTAAATCTTATGTGCCATTCAGAAGCTGTCTGAATTTATATGAAGAGAACCTGACTGATGAAGAAACTACAAAAGGAGGCAACATATGATGACCACAACACATGGAAAAGGTCAACTGCAAATGAAGAAGCTAATGAAAAAGTTTACAGATACAGAACTTGGACTTAAAAATGAGAATCAGACTCTTAAGAACATTTCAACATTTATTAAAAGTAGCCAGAGTAAATAAACCATAAGGATGAAGAAATAATCTTCACCCAAATGCTTCTTATCTTCTAAGTAAATGCTCTACCTCTAAACTATTTCACCAGCCCCAGTCACTTGTTCATACTGGTTTTGCCAGTATAAAGGCCCCTAACTTTTAGAAGTGTCATATGGGAATAAAATATAAAATGTCAAGTATCAGTTGACACTGAGAAAGAAAAAATAATCCCACCAGTCAACTTTCAAGTCATCTCTAGCAAGTTCAGTTTTTCATATCCCTTATTTTCTCTAAGTACAATATATCTTTTTTAAGAGACTCCATCATGTGTGTGTAACTTCATTAAGATCAAATGAAGTCTGGGAAAGCATATCAGAAATAAAAGGCACAATATTTCAACAATAACTGACTATATACAAAGATATTTGTTTGCCAATCTATAAGAAACACAAAGAACACACACACACACACACAAAAAAAAAAAATGGGTTGTATGACCCTTACACAGGGGGGCACATATCAGATATTTACATTATGATTCATAACAGTAGCAAAATTACAGTTATAAAGTAACAGTGAAAATAATTTTATGGTTGAGGGTCACCACAATATGAGGAACTGTATTAAAGGGTCGAAGCTTTAGGAAGGTTGAAAACCACTGACCTAAATACTATTATCTAAGAAACAACACCAAGTGTTGATTCTCTGGACTCACATTATATCCCACTGAAAGGCAAAATCTCTAATGAAATCATTCTCATCAACGCAAATCTACATGACTCCTAATAAACAGTTGCCAGATAAATGTTAAAGCACACTTCAAATTACAATTAGCAACTTGTTAGGTTATTTTCCCTAAAGGCATCTGATTTAATGCTGAACTCTCCAAACAGTAAAATAAATGCATAAGTAGTGCCCATTCTTAAATTATTTTCCACTGTCCTTTACTGGCAATATTTAAAGACACTAGCACTTTAATATTGCAAGTCTAAACTAGTTTCTCTGACACATCTTTGCATTTCAACTTTGTAAAGATTAATGAACCTTTGCCATATGGTGGTGGTGGTGGTGGTGCTGGTGGTGGTGGTGGTGGTGGTGGTGGTGGTGGTGCAGCACACCTTTAATCCTAGCACTTGGGAGGCAGAGGCAGGTAGATCTCTGTGAGTTCAAGGCCAGCCTGGTCTATAGAGTGAGTTCCAGGACAGTCAGGGTTACACAAAGAAACTCTGTCTTGAAAAACCCAAAGAAAAAAAGATTAACGAACCTTCATTTAAATGCACTTCTTGCTTGTCAGTCCTGATGCTTCAATGGCTTTATACTATTTCCTGTGGCATAAAATTTTAACAGAGGAGGCAATTTTTATTCTTCATGCTTATGAAAGAAGCTTGGTTAGCATCCTCAGGTTGCAAACAATTTCCTGAAGAGGTTAAACAGTACCTTTAGATAACATTTCTAAATTAATCAACTAAAATAATTGCTGTATTTTTCCTATGTCATCTTTAGAACCTCCTTCCATGATTCATTGCTTCATCACAGATTCAATAGTAACTTCTTCCCTCTCTTTTTAACTACGGATTCTTAACATGGAATGTTTTCTTCATTGTTACTTACCTACAAAATGAAATAAATGAAATGTGAACTAGGAATGATATATAATATGCTATTTTAATTATGATATGAACAGACACTAAGTGAATCACATCATTATTTACAGTTAAAACAGCTTCAATGGTGTTACATTCCCAATCAGGTACAAAGATATGAAAATAAACTCTGATTAAAAATGTGTATCCCATATACATTCTGCTAGTGAGTAGAATTGTAATCCCCCATTTTCTAGGCACTGGGATGAACATTAATAAGCACTTAACTACAATAACAATAACAGATTATGTATAAACACTTTAAATAATGTTTTCTGTATTCCTGGTATTATTGTACACACACTGCATACATTACTTCATTTAATCTTCACAAAACTACAATTCACAGACCCAAACCTGGAGATTTTTAAAAGGATAGCTGGGGTTTAGAGAGATGATTCAGTGGTTTTAAGAACACTAACTGTTCTTCCTAGAACAGTTGTAAGTGTAACCCTAATTGTAACCCTAGCAGGGTTCAATTCCTATAACCGTACCAGGAAGCTCACAATTACCTGTTGTTCCAGCTTTGGAGGACCTGGTGCCCTCTTCTGGCTCCATAGGCACCAGGGTATGAACAGAAAAACAAATACACATAAATAAAACTAAAACTTTAAAAAAAAAAAAAAAAACACTAAACTACCCACAATAGCCAGGCATGGTGAAATACATCCACCAATAATCCCAATACTTGTGAGGCTGAGATAAGGTTGCTAGTTCTTGACTAGTCAAAACTCAAAAAATAAAAAATAAAAAGTAATTACTCACATAAAAGTAAGAAAGTGGCAAAGTGATAATTCAAAGTTCTGTTGGAGAATGCTCAGCAGTTGCTATGTTTGCAAAGGGCTCCTAAGCTACACAGAGAGAAACCTTGTTTCAAAAAAACAAACAAAAACCAAACAAACAAACAAACAAACAAAAAACTCAAGTAATTTTTAGAAAAACAACATTGGGACTGGAGAGCTCAGAGGTTAAGAGCATTGGCTGTTTTTCAAGAGGTCCTGAGAGCAATTCTGAGCAACCACAAGGCAGCTCACGACCATCTATAATGATATCTGATGCCCCTATATATACAATGCAGAACGCTGTGTAGATAATGAATAAATCAACCTTTAAAAAAGAAAAAAACAACCTTAATACCAGGTAGTGGTGGCACAGGACTTTAATCCCAGCACTGAGAGGCAAAGGCAGGTGGATCTCTGAGTTCAAGAGCAACCTGGTTGAACAAAGTGAGTTCTAGGACAGCCAGGACAGTTACACAGAGAAACGCTGTCTTGGGGGGGGGGGGGACTTTAAAAACTTCCAAACTGCCGGGTGGTGGTGGTGCAGGCCTTTAATCCCAGCACTCCGGAGGCAGAGACAGGTGAATCCTGTGAGTTTGAGGCCAGCCTGGGCTACAGAGCGAGCTCCAGGAAAGGCTCCAAAGCTACACAGAGAAACCCTGTCTCCAAAAAAAAAAAAAACACCCTTCCAAACTAAGGAGAAAACCCAATTTATTTTTCAAATGTATGTGTGTGTCCCCAGTACAATGCTTATCCTTTCAAACTAGAAAGTTGTAACTTTTAAAGTTCAAAAGCCCAAGACTTAGTGGAATTAAGTGCTTTGAATAAATTAAATGACTGAATAAATGTATTCTCCAGATGAGATATCTCAGCTAGAGATACTAACTTATAAGCTAGGGTAAAAACAGTACTTGAAGATGGTACTGGAAGACACAAAAGTCTAGATGTGGTCCTCAACAGGCTCTCAAGGTTTTAAAATGAAAGAAGTGAGAAACAAGGAAGGAAAAAGAAACTGACAAGGACTTGGCAATAACATGTAGGGGTAGGAAAGAAGACAGAAGGTAGACAACACAGCATCCTGAAAGCCAAGAGTACTTAAGGAGGTATCAGAGTACTCAACCACCAACTGCTACTTTTACATCAAACTAAATGAAGACTGAAAACAGACTATAAATGTAGGCATGCTGGTGCTACTCATGACCTTGTCAAGTGCATTTTAAGTTGAAAGGCAGAAAAAGCCCGATACAAACTGGCTTCAAGAACATGATGAAGAAAATCTCAAGAAGTCATACACTGCCATATTGCCAGTGGGACTATAAAATCACGCAATCATTTTTTTGGAAACCAGCCTGCCAGTTCTTCAAAACATCAAATATATTACATGACTGAGCAATTCTATTGCTAGGTATACACCCATAAGCATTTTTAAAATACATTTTAAAAAAATGTCAGACAGTGGATCTCTGAGTTTGAGGCCAGCCTGGTTTACAGAGTAAGTTCCTAGACAGCCAGGGCTACACAAAGAAACCCTGTCTCAAAAATAAATACATGTATAAATAGATATTTTTCATAATAGCCATAATATGGAAACAAATCTAATGTTCATTAACTAATGACCAAGTAAGCAAAATGTGGTGTATCCATATAATGGAGTATTTATTACCTGGCCATAAAAAATAACAAAGGGTTAAATAACATGGTATAGTATGAATGAGCTTTGAAAACCACTATGGTTTGAATGTTAAATGTGTTAGAATTCCTAGCCACTCCCCAGCTACATGACCACACAAGCACTGTCCAGGAGCCAGGCAAGATGCTAGTCAGGATCATGTAATTTGCACGTAGCATGATCACACAATCTATGTGCATGCATGGCATAGCTACATAAGCCCATATGTGCATGTGTGGGGGACCCTATAAAAGCGGGTTCATCTATTCCCTCTCCTCTCTCTTCCTGCACGGTCATTCCATAGGCCTATGCACACCCCTTCTGTTCCTTCCCCTTAATAAACTCTTACAGTGGGCTTCGTTGTACCTCATGGCTTCTCTTGTACAGTAAACAGCTCTGCTTAATAAGAAAATGTCCTTCATAAAATCATATCTGAACACTTGGTCCCCAGCTAATGGCTCCGCTTGGGAAGGTTCTGGAAGCAGGCCTTAAGGTTTTATAGCCTGGTCTCGATTCTGTTCACTCTGCATGGATGCAATGAGACCTGCCAGCTTCCTGCGCCTGTGCACTATCTTCCCCACTATGATAGACTTCACTGCCATGGAACCATAAGCCAGAACTAATCCTTTCCCCTTCAGTACAACAAGAACATTAAACAAAAACATAATTAGGCAAAGAAACTAGACATAAAGACCATGTATTACATTATCTCACTTATACAAAATGTCCAGAACAGGTAAATCTTTATAGATGTGGCAAGTAGATCAGTGATTTCCAGGGACTGGGGAGAAAACGACAGAAATTGTTCAGGGCTTTTTAAGGGATAATAAAAATGTTCTAGAATCAGTGGAATGGATGTACAAGGATAGAATACATTAAAACACAGAATCATACCCTTGAATTTTTTTGTTATATCGTGTCTTAGTGTTCTGCTGTGAAGAGACACCATAACCACAGCAACTCTAATAATGGAAAGCAATTAATTGGGGCTTGCTTATAGTTTCAGAGGTTTAGTCCATCATCCTCAGGGTGGGGAGATGATGGCATGCAGGCAGACATAGTAGCTCAGAGTTCTACAACCAGATCCTCAGGCAGCAAAAAGAGAGAGATCCTGGGCCTGGCTTGAGCTTTTTACACACTTGACATACCAGAGTGAC